GTGAACAAGTTTTACAGCACGAGGCTGCAGCCCTTCCACTGTGTATTCATATAATTTATTTTCTTAATTTGTGTTATTCTTGATTAAGCGAACATTGTATTTTGCAGGATTGTTCACAAAGTCAGGTCCTGTACTATAAAGAAAAGTAAACGCAAATAGTATATAGGGTTGAGTGAAAGTTGAATAGTGTGATGCATACATCAGAAAGTATAGATATTTATAAAAAGTATAGATATAATATTTGTATATTACTTGCAAATAAATACATATTTTATACTTATTTAAACTACGCGCAAAAATTAACGTAAATTAGTAAAGTGGCAGAAATTCAAAGTTAATTTTCTTGCAAACCACTAAATCGAGTTTGAAGATCTTACTTTTGCAAAGGCGATGTGCTTAAAATTAACTTTTTAATTTCGAATTTTAATCATGTAAGCGACAGGCTGTTTACTTAAAATTTGCAACACGCGGTGGGTTACTATGGTTCAAACAGTTAGGATCTACCGACGTATACACATAAAATAGCCCTATAGTTTTTGATCATTTTGTTTTTTGATTCTCGGTATTGAAAGTAAAATTTCAGTAAGAACACAAAGCAAGCTTTGCAAACAAAATAACTAGAAGATTACATTCAACGTTTTGAAGAAACCAATGATCACAACAAATATCATGGGCAAGGACAAAATTTCAAAGTCTTTAGAGAGCCACAAAATTTTTTCTTGCCAAAACTAAATAGTACTCGCATTTAAATAATTTTTTTTGATAAAAAACTAATCTATTTATTCATAAGAAAGAATATCTATTTATTCATAAAAAGAATATCTATTTATATACAACACTAACTGGTACTTCAATAACAAACAATTGAGCAAACAAATTCCATGGGAGCAATGACATTGCATGGTTATTCAAGTAGAAAATTTAAACTTTACTAAACAATGTAACTTGTAGTTAAAACTAAAAAAAAAAGAATAACAACATACATTTAAGCAAACAAATTCAATGGAAGTGTTGGCTTTGCATGGTTTTAGAAAGTTTGGTAAAATTTGGCTCATAACTTGTTGTTTTAAGTGTCAAACACAACTCATTTTCATTTGTTAGTTGGCTTCTTGCTTTACTTTTAATTATATTCATGCAAAGGCTTGCTCACACGAATATGTCGATCCGAAGATAGTCAGCACTCCACATGCCAACTTCTTCACCTCACTGTAACAATCTGGAAGACTATTTGGGATGCGGTGAAAAGCGAGTACAAGTGGCTGAGAGATAAAATCAGGGCCTAATCCTCGTTAATCAATTCAAACGATTTTTAAATGTTTTTTTTTTGATAAAATAAATAATATTTTCGTATGGAACTAAAGAGCCGCAGCTTCACATCCAAAGAGACGCATGTGGCTCGCGAGCCGCAGGTTGCCGACCCCTGGTCTGGAGGCTTCTGGCATCAGAGGTCCACAAAAATGTTTCTTAGTAGGTTTTAGTATAGAGCAAACTTGGCAGAATTACTTTGTTCAGCATTCTCAAGTTATGGGTTTCCACTGGAAAAGATGAATACTTGAAATAAATATTTATATTTCAATGCCATTCATTTATCATTATGACACAAAGCGCGCAGCAAATTTATAATTAATTACTTCGGCTTGGGGGCAGTTACGGTATTCTGGTTAGTTCATATATTTTTAATAAAATGATTTAAAACACTTTTTTTAAGGTATTTCTTGTTTTTCTTCAAATATTGAACTCGTGCTTCGCACCACCTACAGCCGACACTGGGTTGACTTGCAATTAGTTTCATTTGTTTAATTTATACAACATAGTTTTACGCGAAGTTTTCTCCAGATAACACCTATCTATATGGATTTAGCACCCTTAGAAGCTCCTGCATATCAAATTTCATCGAAATGGTTAGACCTTAGAGCCGTTTTCAGAAACGCTATTGATTCTTATGTACCTATACCTATAAACTTTGAACATTTTAACACTATACATATTGTAGCGACCACGAGCGTGATTGTGTGCGATCGGGCATACGTGTGTGTGAGCGGCTTATCTATTCGCCGACTAGCCGCGGGCGCTTTTCTTTATGTGCGCCGTGTCTGTAAACGTGTGTGTCGTACCTGCATTCCGGGAAAGCAATTAAACCGTTCAAAGAAAACGAGACTTCTCTGGACGGCTGGAGAACGTTCCCGAAAGGAGGCCAGGGAGTATAAAAAGGAAGAGACGATCGCCGAAGTGGAATAGAAATAAATTGACCGTTGCAGAAGTGAATCAAGAAATAAATAGACAGTGATAGAAGTGAAATAAATAGAACAGTGAATAGTAATATTCAATGTAAATAAATAGAATAATTACCTAAGTTAGTAATAATTTAATAGTGTTTTTAAGTCCTTTAGTAATAATTAGTGGAAATAAATAGTTTTTGTCGTTGTGAGTCTTAAAAGTTAATTTGTTAAACCCACGAACATTACAATATTATTAAATTGAGGGTGTCGGTAGGAAAATATTTGCGAACAAAACGGTAACAATCTTGGTAATAACGACAACAAACTCGACACTATTGCCGACACTTTTGCTTGGCAAAATGAAAAATTACACTCCCAATTGCCTTTATTAGCATTTATTGCAGAGACCTGCATACTATATTTACATCTCATGGGAATCTCTGTAGTTTATTATGCTTACCATATATAAAGCGCATAGTTATTGCAAAATCTATTTCCGAAACTGATGTTTACATTGCCTTGCGAATAACGGCACCCAGTTATTACCTTTAGGAAAGACTTCAACTCCTTTTTAACCTAATAACAAAGTCAGACTCTGTAGTACGAGGGTGGATTGATAAGTTTCCGGCCTGACCAAGAAAAACAAGGTTTTTAAAAATTTTTTTTTTTTATTTCTCAACATAATCTCCTCCAAGGCTGATACATTTCTCATAGCGGTGTTCCAGTCTATTAATGCCATCTCTATAGACTGATTCGTCAAGCTCCTCAAAATAACCATTTACNCTAAGAGTAAGGACAATTTTAAAGAAGTTGCATGACGAAGAAAAGAATGCGGAAGAATTTTCAACTAAAATTAAAGATTTTTATAATGAAATCAATGACTATTTGAAAATGTTGATTGAACCATTTGGGGATCTAAAAGTTTTCGACTGAATTGATCTAACAGGGTCTGATCTGCTAGATTGGAACAACATTGAAAAGTCTTTGGTCTTTTTAAAAGATCATAACATTGAAATCGACGACGAAAAATTATTTGACGACTGGGTTAATTTGAAAAATTTTAGCACAAATTTGAATCTTACTCAAAAAGACGACAGCTTAAACGCCTTGTGGCTAACATATTTCAAGCAATGCATTTCTGAGGAACAGTATGCAGAACTACGGAAAGTGGTTGAATATGTATTTATTAGTATACCGGGTCATAACGCTAAAGTCGACAGAGTCTTTTCCCTCATAAATTCACAGTGGTTAAAAGAAAGAAATCGATTACTGCCAACAACAGTAGCTGCAATAATCAAAACTTTATATAACATAGATATGAAGTGTGACCAATTTTATAATTATTTGCTTACTCAACCACAAATACTGAAGGAAATTAATGGGATTGAAAAATATAGTAAAAATTAATAAGTTTATAATATTAGAATGATACTATAACTAACCTAAGTTTAAGAAATTTGTTACAAACTAAAGTGTTTGTTTTATATTTTAATAACTAGTTTTCAACTCGTATTTCATCCAAATACTTTTATTAAAAAATGTGATTATTTTAATTAAATGTGTCCTGTTTTTAAACTGAATTGTCCTGGTTTTTCCAACTTCAAATCCTGGTTTTTTAAATTTGCGGTTGGGAACCCTAACATACATGCGTATAAATGAAATAGAAGTTGGTTGTGCTGGGTGTTAGTTACTA